CAGATGGTTTAAAGCAAAATAGTGCTTTGGAGGCCAGTGCTTCTATTTAAAGTATTGGATGTGGAAAAAGAATGTTTATTAATCCCATCCAAGAGCTACAAAAGCAAGGAGTAGTCAAAAAAAAAAAAAAAATCTACAAAACACCAAATTGCACACACACATGCAATATTGGTGTTCCTATACCCCTAAAAAGATCCCCAATTTCTAGTCCTATCGAGATTGTTGAGAATCAAATATTTTTTTTCAAATATAAAAACTGCAGCGCTAACTTTTTACCGATGATGCCATTTCCAGAGCTCTGGCATTAGAGATTAAAAATAAACTATATCATTATATACACCTGAAATTCTGAAGTGCTATATTGAGATCCAGACAAGGGCTAAAAAAAGACTGAATTGCTGCATTAAAGAGGAAAAGAGGGACAAAAAAATGTACATATATTAGTGCAAATCTACACTGCATTAAATTTACCATGTAAGAGGCCAACTATTTCTGCCCTTTAAGTGGTTATTTTAAAACTGGTTAAAAAAAAAAAAAAATTACACAATATATGAAAAATTCAAAAAAGGGAGGAGATAAAAAGAAAAAAAAAAACAAACACACACACAACAACAACCTACAACTTGCAGAGAAAAATTAGACCTCTCCACCCTACCAATGTATATAATGGTGCCAACTCTTTTAGTTATACGTTATTTCCTATTCCCTTTAATGACTACAGGTTTACGTTTAATGGTTTATGGGATTAATATGGTATTTGAAGTGACTCTGGCACTAGCCAAGTGTTTGTAAATCCAAAATGTTTTTTTTTTTAGGTTTTGGAGTAGGAGATAGTCAAGACCCCCGTCGGATTTTTTTTTAAATTTACGGTCTCTGTCTCCATTGGGAGATTTCCCTTTACTTCCTGTCCCAAAAACACACCAGGAAGTAGGAGAACTGACCAAAGCAAAGAGATCCCCTCTTAAGCGAACTGCACACAAAAGTCTTGCGAGGGTTGTAAAGTGTATGGGCACCTTTAGACAGATCTCCCCATTGGAAGATGTCCCCTCTGGTTCCTCAAGTACAAAATGTGATGGGAAATCCGTATTGCTTTTGCGCTGCCAGAGAGTAGAGTGTGTGAATCTACCCAGTGGGGACACAGCAATAAAAACAGACTCTAATCCACATTCTATCCAAAACTTTACATACACTTTAAAATGTTTAATTTAATTCTCCTGCAAAAGAGGATTAATATTTTCCCATCCCAAGCCACTGTGCTCTGTTGTCTTCAAGCACTACACTGGCTGGAAAATCGTCAGCATCCGACACCTTCCGGGGTATCAGTTGCCTGTTCCTTCCATTGTGTAAAGTGGTTTTATCCACCAGCCCCTACACCTCTGTGTCCAGCGAGAGAACAACATTGCACAGTGGAGAAGGGGTATGGGGGTGGGGGGAGACAGGCAACTGATACCCCGGGAAGTGTCAGATGCTGAAGATTTTTCAGCCAGTGTAGCGCTTAGGCCTCATTCACACGAGAAAAAGCCGTCACGTACAGCTCCGTGCACGGCCATATCGGGCAGCTCCTGGGAAGGACAGGTGCTGCGTGTGATTAGTACGCAGTCCCTGTCCTTCTCTATGGGACTACACGGCCGTGCGCCGCCCTACGGTCACCCCAAGTGCAGGTCCGTACAGGTGCGGGTGTCCCGGCTTGGACGCAGACAGGATCCGTCCTGTCAGCGTACGAGTATAAACACCCGCACGGACGTGCAAGGCGGGTGAGCGTAGCGCGGTGTATGGCCGCATACTACCATAGAGAAGGGCAGGTGCTGCGTACTAATCACACGCAGTACCTGTTCTTCCCAGGAGCTGCCCTATACGGCCGTGCGCGCAGCACGGAGCTGTACATGCCGGCTTTTTCTCGTGCGAATGAGGCCTTAAAGTTAGCAGAGATTGCAGGCATGAGAGTGGTAAATATAAACCTTTTTTTTTTTATTTAGTTGCAGACAGGACAGAGAAATGTTAGATTTTGTTTATACTACTTGCTATCTTATTTCCTTATAACAAAAACGTTATTCGTTGGGCACAGTAGAAAAGAGCCGGTACAAACTTATAAGATAGTAAATACATAAGATGTACAACATTTATTTCACCAATGTATAGTATTTAATTTCTCAGGAAGATGAATAAAATCAATGAAAAATATTTGAAAGCACTGGAATTAGAGGGTCATGGTAAGGTGCAAAATGTATGTCATAGAAGTGCCAGCTAATAAGTTAAAGTGTCTGTCAGTGCAGAATCAACATATTCCACAAATGCAATCACATTTTCCCATGTTTTTGCTTTAAAGAGGCAGACAATGCTGGCTCTGCTGGACTTAAGTCCCAAGCCGCATCAGCCATTCATAAGTTTTCCCCTGCTAAACTACGGAATAGTCACATCTTTCCTCACCTGAGTAACATAAGGAGGGTGGGGTGTGTTCAGTAGTCCATCAGGGGAGCACTAAGGCAGTGATAACAGCACTGCTTGGGATTTGAAGCAGAGGCCGTGGGTTGTCAGGTGACTAATGGAAGTCAGGAGCTCACTGAAATTCTGGCAGATCAATGAAATATATTTCTGTAATTGCAGCACTATTCAAGAAACAAAACTGATGAGATGCGCTGCATATGTTGGTTTTCATTTTGCACAGACATGCACTTTAAAATTTGTCAAACATACATACTCTAATCGGATTTTTGTTTGTGACTATCTATATTGCTTGCTACCACTTTATAGGAAAGAAGATACCAGAAGCTGAATCACCCCCCGACTTCTCATATCACCTGGGGACTCCAGTGAGAGGATCCCTGCCACAAAGTTCCCAGCTCCACCCATCAGCTACATCCAGGGGAAGCTTACTCTCCAAGATTCATCTTATATACGTAACACATGATCAAGGAGAAGCAAGACTCCGAGGCTAGGTAAGGGACATCGGAGAGGAGGGCTTGAAGCTGAACTCCGAGATTTGTAATAAGGTAAAAGAAATAAGCCTTAAGAGAATCAGAAAGCTTGTTGCCTGGCAGTCAAACTGATGTGTTGCATTCAGTGTTTTCACTGACCTGAAAAAAAAACGTATAGGAGATAAAGACTTCTGACACTAATTTATACAGCATGCTTATTCCATGACTCAAAAAGTATTGATGTCACCCAACAAGCATTTTAAAAGAAAGTAAGCAATAGCAGTCCCCATACTCCACTCATAACAGGTAATTGAGCCCAATGTTCACACAGCCAAAATATTACTTTTTGCTTGGACTGGTACTTTAAGCACCACCAGTCGACCTCATAAGAGGGGCATCTATAGAAATCTTTACTTCTCGCTACGTTTCACTTTGCCCTGATCTTCTACTTTCCTAATGGCAGCCTGAATGGCTTCTTGGTCGCCCAAAAATTCGTGAGGTTTGACAGCACGGAGATTCTCGTCAAGTTCTAGAAGCACCGGAACACCAGTGGGAAGAGAGATCTTTATAATGTCCGCATCGGAGATACCTGTCAACAAGAAACAACTATTAAAGCGCACATTGTACTAAATATTCCAGGCAGAGAAAACATAAAAGACATTAAAGTGGATTTGAACTCCAAAAACTTAAGATTTGCTTAAATTTTCCACAAAAAGAAAAAAAAGGCACTTAGTTCTCCTAGGCAAGCCTGTACCTTGACGCTTATAGCTGTACATTTGCTGTGTAAGATCATCCAAGACACTGCTGCCTCTTATTGCAGGTCTCACCAGATTAAAGGCGCCCGTACACTGGCTAAATTTCGTCCAATTTTTAATGTACTCCCCGAAATTCCGCCAGTGTATGGGGCTGTCAGCTCCCTTTCAGCCGGCATTCCTCGATCAGCTGATCGAAGCAGCCGGCTGGAAAATCTTTGTTTGATCAGAGTAGCCAATGAGCTGCCCGGTCTGACAGGTGCCGGCGGCACCTGTCAGAACAGTATGCAAACAGCGGTGATTTCTCAAGCTACAGGTTTGTGTTGATGGAGGAATCGCGTCAATTTCTTCCGGTCAGGCGGCGGGTTGAACAAAAGAAAAAAAATCGACAGGTGTATGGCCAGTTTCAGAGTGGGACCTAGTCATTACTATGGTGCTCACCATTCTCCTTGCTAGAGAGGAATCTGTACCGGAGAATCTGTAGTGCAAGGATCTCCCTGCTTCATTTATTCTGTGGATCTAGCCTTCTCCCACCTCCCCTGCTGCTTCTTGATCATTACCGCATCAGTAATCATATCACCAGTCATCAGAGGGCAGCTTAACCATGAGGAAGTGAAGCCATGCTTCTACCAAGATGGCTGCTCCTGTCATGAACAGACACAGCGGAGAATAAGGCATGGCAAGTTGTTTTCAGGAGAAAACATCAGCTGCAGAGAACCTATAGGCAATCCTGATGACTGGCTCCTTTGCCTTTCCTTGGGTACAGCATCCTCAGTACAGTTTTTTTTAAACAACAACAGATTCACATGACTGCTAGCAAGCTGAACCACATGAGGTCATCATAGATCTCTAAGACACCAGACATCTCTCCACCAAGATTCTCAATATTGCACACATTGCTATTACAAAAGTCGACAATGCATTATGTTCCTCCGAGGTCTTTAAAAATAAAATAATTGGGGAATACAACTGCGAGAGGATGATGCCTATATTTTTTATAGGTTTGACGGAGAAAACAAATCCAATCACATATATCCCTGTAGGGTACAAAACACAAGGGAAAGGCAGTTGGGATGAACCGATTGGTGCCTGCCCAAAACTTTCTGTTTTGGAGGGAGTTACATTGTAGTAGCTGTTCAGAGTGCAAGTACACTGCTGAAACTGAAATGAATACATTTGTCTGGGACTGGTGAGCATATTGGACATGGCATTATATATATACACCAATGTTTACAATTGATAAATCACATGCAAATATAGACACGCACATTGCAGAAACACGGGATTGCAGGAGAGGTCAAACTTGACTTTGTGAAAGGTCGCTCGGGAGGGACGGGAGCTGCTGCAGATTGAGTTACACCTTGAACTTTTTCTGCAAGTGCAAGGTCAGCTGGAGGGTTGATATACCAAGAATCTCAGGAGATAGATAAAGGGTCAATGCCTCTACCACAGTTATGCATTAAAGAGACCCTGCTACTATAGCTATTCATCCAATCACCTTATATTCACCTTCACAGTGCTAAATACCTGGTATCTGAGCAATGATGTAACCCCCTTCCCCTTTCAGTGTTCAGGTCTAGCAGTTGGCCACTAGGTCCAAGCACTGCATCATGGGAGAAAGTTAAATGCTCCCCCATATCTGGAAGCAAAGGGTATTTACCCAATACTTTTAGATTGTAAGCGCTCCTTACCATCTTGTCTTGAATTATATTGTGATTGTAATGTCTTCCTTATATTGTAAAGCGCTGCACAAACTATTGGCGCTATATAAATCCTGTATAATAATAATCTCACCTTTGGAGCACTAGATATCCGGTATGCAAGCTTATACAGGGTAATATTATAACCCCCTTCACCTTTTAAAGTGTTCAGGCCTAGCAGTGGGGCAGTGGGCCCAAGCACTGCATCATGGGAGGATGTTACATGCTCCCCCATATCCGGAAGCAAAGGGTATTTACCCCATACTATTCTTCACGGTGCAAAATACCCGGTATCTTAGCTCACACAGGGCAATGATGCAGCTCCCTTTCTTTTAGATGGTGTTTAAGCATAGTAGCAGCATCAGCAATGGAAGGATCAGTGGGGTAGAGCTGTCAAGGTGAATTTCGCTGGGTCAAGGGGTGGGCTTTAAAGAAACCTGAATGGGCAAGGTGACAGGGTCTCGTTTACCTACCAGTAGATCTTTGGCTTGTGGCAAGAAAATCAAGGCCTACAGGGAGTCCCCCAGCAGTCATTGGGGGTGTACATACAAATACAAGCCACAGGCTTGTAATGCAAGAATGCAATCCACTTAGTTTTCACACTGACCATCACACTGACATACTAGCAATCATGTTTTGGTTTTATATTCCTCATCTGGGAAAAAATTATGCCTGAAGTGGTTGTTATGAGCCAAAACGTCACTTTTCAACCTGCATTTTCATTCACAGCAGACACATTTTTAAAACCCTTTTTGGTCTATTTATATAAACTAAAATGAATGAGATTTATATTTATGTTACCTCCCATAATCCCCCTTCCCAAGGAAGTCTACCTTTATTTCAATGCAGCACCCAACCGCCTCCACACATAGCCAGGACTGGTATAAAAATCCATCCGCTAGCTTGGATTCCAGGGTTTAATTAGGTTTAGGGTGGTTGGGGATAGGAGAGTTAGGTTTATGGTCAGAGTTAACAAGGTTGTATTTAAGGGCTAGATAAGCCAAACCATAGTGTAAAATTCTAGTGTAGTAGTGTCTTAAGGTGGCTGTAGGGGGCACTGACCTGTAAAGGGACTGCAGTGATCTCTAGCAGTCTCTTAACATGTCCCCAGATCCTGACAGTCTCCTGAAGCATGTCCCCGGTCTCTAAAACACTGATATAGCATGTGTGTAATATGTGATCATCCACTGAAGCAAATCCAGTCCATGACCATTTTCTGTAGCATTATCTCTATATATTGAATTGTTTTTTTTGGCCCATTGGTGATGTCAGGAAAACTACTCAAGGCCCCCTGTATCAAGCAAGCTGACCACCCCTGCTGTGCATAAAAGAAATGAAAATGAAAATGATGCAAAATTTCTTAAGAAGTTTCAATGTATATTGGCACAACAGTATATTGAGCAGTCAGATTTTCTCAGCCAACTGCTATTCCCCCTCGCCCCAACCCACCAAATAACAGCCCCTAGAGGTGTGTGCACATTGCTGACCACTGTAAGAACAGTCAAACTTGGGTAGTACTAGCCGTCTGTCACGTCTGACCACCATGCTATGTCTATGGCTTTCGTTACTGTTTCCCAGTGAACAGTGTGCCTAAATAGTTTGCTGTGCTGTCTACTCTACGCACCCAGGAGATAAGTACTCGGGTTTATATAAAAGATAAAAGGAGACTAGGAGTCTGTGCATTAGGATAAGAATATTGTGAAGCAAAAAGATAAGCTAAAGCGACTACAGCCAGTAAACAATTACAACTGTCATCTTACAAAAACAAGTGAGATCCATTCACTAAAAGTGGGCACCTATGGGACGTTCACATTGTTCATTACTACATATACGTGTATGTGTGGATAAAGATGGCCATAGGAGGTGCATTTCATTGTAGAGAAGGGCAGCCACATGTGTGTATAGAATTCAAAAACTACATACTGAAACTAAGGTTTTAAAGCATTTACACGGACCCCATGCCATGCTAAGAGTTTTGCTAGGATGGGCAGAGAAATAGAAAGCCTGAAATTATTTTTTTTTTTTTCCCTGGAGCATATACTGTTCCAGGCTCTCTCCCATTGCTGGCCATATGACCAAAAGCCTAGCTGTTTGGTCACATGATTTTTGATGAAGCAGAGTTCAGATTGGTCAAAATCATCTGGCCTGGGGTCTGGTTACACAATCATCACTATAGTGAACATGGAGCAGCATTTTCTCCAGAAAAGAGAACACGCAATATCTCAGTGTAGGTCTTGAGACACACTGACAATATTACCTGAAGCAAGTTAATAACATTTATAGAGTCTAAAAAATAAACCCCAACGAACAACAGACTTTCTTTAAACCTATAAAATGACCGGTGCCTGCAACACACACACACACAATTAAAAAGACTTGTCAGCACTTGTGGTCTGCTGCATGCTAGGAATTTGTACATGGTCTGTCTCCAAATTGTTTCAGTGATCACCCAAGCTTAGTCATGTGTTCTGCTGCCATCCAAGACAAAAGAAGTATTAAACGTAAAGAAGCAAACAAAAAGTTCCGTAGCCACCCATATGCCTGTGCCAGCTGCTGTAAGAGCTGAAAGATACCAATTTATCTTGCAAATCATGCCGGCATCGGTTTAAAAAAATTGAAAAAAAAAAAAAGGGTCATTCTATGGAGAATCTGGAAAAATTTAGTTACCCCCTGCAATCCCCCCCCCCCGCTGCTGTATACGGATGTGTACTATCAGTATACAGCAGCACACGCCTGCACTCTGTATTTTGAATTTCGCTCAAAGCCCTTCTGACTGCACTGACCAAGGAGAAGTGCTTCTTGCGCTTACCATATTCGGGCGAAAGTCAAAATACATAGCGCAGGGCTGCGCTGCCATGTATGGAGTATGGCTAATACACAGACACCGTGAGACATAGAAAATAATAATATATTTTTTCTTCACTCTACAACCGTTTAACGATAGCATGACTAGCATGTTCTGAAGTCAGGTCTGGGTTGCTTCTGCAGTCTAGTTCCAACAACTGGCATGTAATCATGATCATTGGTTGATCACCCAGCTCCCTAAAAAGCAAGGAGGATCAAGCATTGCGATACTCTCCTCAGTTTTAAAAACGGAGAATTAAATTATGTGAGCCCCCATCGCCTTCCCCACAGTGGAGCAGGATTCTATCCAGAAAACCTATGTAATTAAGCACTCCCAAGCATCCCTTAAAAGCTCACATCCAATTCAAGCTCAACTCTGGGCTCATCTGCCCCATCTCCTCCATTGGTCAGGCAAGCCTTTAATAATAACAAAATATTATTAATAATAATCATATATACACACACACATTTTTTACATGTGTCATCACAGGTTCTCTTTGCCATTTTCTTTATCCAGCAATGGGCAGACCCTAAATGCTGCAGAGAGATCTTTGCAGCATTCACCTGTGAGCCTAGGGCTAGTCCTTGACACCCTGGAATCACAGGAAATAGGTTGAATGTTGTTGCGTGCCATTCAACCAACAAGAGGAGAAGCTCTGGGGACATGCCCAGATATCAGGTGTGTGTATAGCAACTGGAGTTGCTCTATTCACCCAATATCTGCTGGGGAGTCCACTATTTTATTTTTAGTCCAAGCTGGGATTTAAGCAGTAGGAATCCTACAACAGAATAGAGAGAGTTAACGGTCTGATGCTTCTACTAACAGAGAATTAGCAAAGTAGACAAGCCTTTTGCCACATCCTGTGACACAGAGATTTCATTCTCTGATTTTGAAGGCAGTTAACCCTGACATGACCTGCATACAGGTCATGCCCTTTAGTGGACTCCCTATTATAGATCATATGGAGGATCCACTTCTTCAGGGAGTCTATTAAGTTCAGCTCTCAAACAAGATGCAGTTGTTACTTGTAGACTGGTGGTAGTTGGAGATCCGAGTTCTAAGAGAACAGTAAGGACACAGTGCCCCACAGCCACCCAAAACTAAAAGGTAGGAGTGGTAATATATCTTTATAGAGAACCTGCCATGTTCCAACATTAGATGCAGGTGCCTACAGCAGCTATTATTACATTGCGCGGCTTAATAAGGGTGCCACCTGACAGGAATTGTCCTCAATGAATTGCAGGATTCTGCTGATGGAGCTAAACTTAAAGTGGCCAATACTAAAGCACCTCTGAAACGGGGGGCCTGAAATCAATCTTCTGAATCGCTCCGCCACCTCTGTCATCCTACGCTTCCAGGTGTGTCAGCATGTCCCCCACTGGCAAGTGGCGTCTCCTGCCAGCCAAAACATCACAACAGAGAAGTGATATACGGGTCAGCGGGAGGAACCACAATGCACAGCTTGGAGGACGTGCTTTCTGACAAACCTAAAAGTGTCTGATAGAAGCGGCTCCAGAGCTCTTTGAGAGAGAAAAGAGTTCACTCATCTCCCTTAAGAAAGGAAAGTATTACCCTTTCCCTTTACATGGTGGCTTTATCTTTTGTTACAGTTCAAATAAGTGTTCACAGAAAACCAATAGGTATGAGTGGTCCCTAGGTGATAG